ATTCACACATCTTTCAGGGAACATTTAGAAAACAAAAAAAATTTAATATTTCAGTTTCAAAAATAGCTAGAAAGTTTTAAAAAATTCTGATATTATTCTTAATTGTTGAATATATAGAAAATAAAATCATTTTTTAATCTGTGAATGTCTAAAAATGTTAAGCTTTTAAAATGAATTTAGGAATATTTGGTAATGGAAAATTCAGTAATTTTGACAAGGTTGGAAAATTCGGTAACAAAAGTTTTCTGTTAATTTAAAAAATATTAATAATCTGTATAGAAATAAGCAGGATTGGAGAGCCACATATAATCAGGTCAGTATGACCCATTTACTAATATCAAATATAAAAATGATGCCAATACAATTTGACATCATTTTGTAACACACTTGTGAATTGAAGTTACCAGTTTTGTGTGCAAAAAAAGAGGCCCCAGAGACACAGAAATTTGAATTGTTACATTTCTATTTTTTAGACAATGAGAATCCTTTTAAAAAAAAAAAAAAAAAGTAAAATAAAAAAAAAAAGGATGCTATATTTTCTGTCATTTGCAAATGATCTTTATAGAAATTACATTAGAACACTGTATACTAATAACTTTTCCCTATAAAATTATTGGATAAAAAAATTCAAGAAAATATATTTTAATAAATGATAATTTTAGGTCTAGTTTTGAGCTGTATTTTCTATACATTTTCATAACCAATTTTAAGTTGTTCCGTCTTCAGTAAATTTTTTTTGTACATTTCATATTACAATTATTATATTTTATTTTTTCATTCTTAAAATGACTACAACTTGTATTATTGCCAGTCAAATTTACCTTTTGTTGCTACTACTGTTGCTACACCTACATATATATGCTTTCAATAGTGCCTGGAAGATTCGGTAATTTTGACAAAGTAGGAAAATTTGGTAACTATGAAATAAAAGTCAACTGAAAATTGATTTTAGTTCCGGAATGGGGGTTTGGGGGGAGAGGAGGCCTAAGCCTCCTCCCCTAAATTCTTGAAATAGAAATGAGGCTATATATATTTTTTTTCTTTAAAAAGAAAAATAAAATCTTAATTTACAACTTTTTTATTAAAATAATAATTTGAAAAGATACAAGAACTTAACTTTAACTTAGATAAATTTTATTTGCTTGAAAACAATAGAGTATAGTAATTAAGTAAATACTTATTTAAAAATATGGGGGTGGGTAGTCTCCTAAAGCCCCATCCAGAAAGTACGGCTCTGGTATTGTTACTCATAGTTACTGAATTTTCCTACTTTGTCAAAATTACCAAATTATCAGTTACCAAATTTTCCTAAATTCACTTTCAACACTGTAATCTTGCTTATTAAAAATTCACATTTTTTTTAAAAAAATAATTTTTGAAATAATTTCAAGTGCCAAGCAAGGCAATAAAACCACTAAAGGGGGAATCTGAGAAAAATCATAATTAAGGAGAGAGGGCAATAAAAGAATAGGATTCAAGGAGAAAGAAGATAACAATTGACATTCTGTTTAGATTTTTGAAGATCAAAATTGACTGGAAAGCAAGAGGCTGGAAGAGAATTCCACAAGGGAGAAGCATGAAAGAAGAAACTGTTAGCATAGAACTTACAGTTACATCTAGACATTTCAACTGTGAAGTGATGAGGTCTAACTGCCAATCTAGTACTGCACTTAAAGTCAAAGTACTAAAAAGGAAAGCTCATCAGAACAGTTATAAAAATATTTATAGAAAAGGCACAGAGAAACTACCTTACATACACAAAAGAAGGAACCTTTAACCACACACACACACAAATGAAAAACTATTTGACATTTGAATTGTCAATATTTCATGTCTTATTTTGATGTCTAATTTTGCCACTGTTTATGAAAATTTTAAAATATAAATTTGTTAAATTTGAAGTGTTTAACATTTATTTTTCACAATTTTGTTCTCTACAATTTTATATATAAATAATTAAACAATTTAATCAACAATATGACTGAAAACTATGACAATGATTAAGAATTGCTAATGAAACTTAGAAATTTTGAAAGTTATTTACAATCATTTTAAAATGTGAAAGGCTTAAAAAAAAAAAAAAAAAACACGAAACAAATGACTAAATGTTAACTATACTATTTTCTTTATAAACCAGACCCACTGATTTTATTATTTTATTAATTCCCTATGTAACAAAGTAACAATGTAACTCTGGATATGACAAATAGATTAAAGAATTTTCAGTGAATTATTAAATATTGATATGCAAGAAACTAATTCTTGTTTTTAATTTACAAGGAAATGATGCATCAGTTTTATCTTCTACAGTTTTCAAATAGAAATTGATAATGAACTACAGACAATATAACAGAAAATTAAAAATGAAAGTTTTTAAGCTGGAAATTCATTTATAACCTATTTATACTTATTCTAAATTGTTTTAACCAGTTACAAAAATTGTTTAATAGATACATCTTCATAAATTTACAAAATTACTCTATTGGTAATTTAGTAAAGAAAATTATTTTTAGATATTAAAAAGAAAAAAAAAATGGACATGTAAAGCATCAGATTTTGTGCGCAGTTTGTAATTAAACAAATTACGTAAATCCTGACATACTGAAACATTGTATCTCTTATGGTTTGTATTGTTATTGACTTAAAGAAAGAAAGAAACTGTTTAATGCTGGCAGTTAATTCACACTATTGCTTTTAGAAAAAGTATGAATCTGTTTCTTCTTTTAGCTAATCAACTATTTGTTAAATAGCAGTGCAGACTGAACTCTTCAGTCTTGGGTGTGAAGCCAATCTAGGAAATCTAAATTCACCCCTAGTCTCACTGACAATGCATCATGTACTAACATGGTAGTTTAAGGCCCACTACTATCTGCATATCTGATGGACTTGGGAAAACTCTGGCCCTGTACTAGACTGAGAGGAAAAATAAAGCCGATATAAAATAAATTTATGCATATATAAGAAAGTCTGGTGATTGAAACTGCCAGTCACTATGCAGTGGTGATTTATATATCTATACTGTTTATATCTATGCCTGATATTTAGCACTCTTCTCTCATAAAGCAAGATTTATATAACACTTGCATGTGTACACACACACACAGGTTGACAATGTATTCACAGAATGACCACAAGGAGTCAGACAAGAACATCCAACTTTGGCTAAGAAATGCTGACCAGATGAGTCACTTGTTGCCAAATAATGGAAATTGTATGTCTACAGATTATATTGTTGGCAGAAAATGAGTTAAAGTAATCAGGAAAATATTTTTTTTATCATTTCCCCCCAGGAAAAGCAATGAAGCCCCTAAGATGCAAGAAGTTACTTAGTGTGAAAGGATGAAAAAAAGAAAAAAAAAACTATTAAGGAGTGAGAATAATTTAAAGAACAAGAATTAAGACAGTAGATAATGACTGACATTGCATTTAAATTTTTGAAGATAAAATATCAGATTTTGTGAAGATTGGTAAAAGTGTTAGTGAAATGTTAGCTCTATTAAAAATATGAACAAGCTACAAAGAAATCAAGTGCTTCTGAGTGGCACAGGTGGTTTAAGGGAGAGAGAGATGATGTACATGATGATGATGATGCAAGGAAGGAAGAGATGATGTGCATAATGATGATGATAAATAGAAGGGAGATATGATGTGTATTGTAATGATGATGCAAGGAAGAGAGATGATGTGCATGATGATGCAAGGGAGGGAAAAATGATATGCATGATGATGATGAAAGGAGCAGAGAGATGATGTACATTAATGATGATGATGAAAAGAAGGGAGATATGATGTGTATGTGCATGATGATGATGATGATGCAAGAAGTTGGCAGCCAAAAATACAAACAAATGCAATTATAGAGTACAAACATTCATGTGCTAAGATTGACAATTAAATGGACAACTGATAAAAGAACTGAATATCGGTAGGGAAACAAAATGGTAAATTCTAACAAAGTATTTGAGAATGAGAAAAAAAAATTCCTCAAAATATGGTGAATTTTGAGTGATGAGCAGAAACAAAACTGGCTTTACATTTTATCTGTCTTTTAAATAATACAGAAGATTTTGACAGAGTCATTACTGGTGACACAACATGGTGTTTTTAATATAATCTGAAACAAAATCCCAAAGCATAAAGAATTCACCTTGGTCACAAAAAAGCAGGTTTCATTTGTAGTTCAAGAAAATGTTTCTATTATTCTTTGATCATAAAATAGTTTACCACAAATTCTTAGCAGACAATGACTAATTGTAAATCAACATGTTTATTTGGAAGTGTTGAAAGAGTTTACAAGAATCTATTTGAAGGAAAAAATCTGAAATAAGACAAATGTTTTTTCCTTTATGACAATGTTCTTGTGCCTGGTCTGTTAGAAGTTTATAACTTCCTGACTAAAAAAATGGGGCATCTACCTTTTACATCACAAAACTCACCCTTCTGTGATTTTTGGCTATTTCCAAAATTGAAAAATGCACAGAAATAACAGATTCGTTGACATCCCCAATATTTCACAAGGTGACAGCAGCTAATAGTGTATATAAACTTAAGTTATCATAACTCATGTATATATTTACTTGAGGATTGATGAATAGGTCCTTATTCGAAGATTATTAACTGAATTTTGATTTGAAATTTTCACTGTATGATATTTGTGGTCTATATGGGTAATGGAGAAATATTGGGTTATGGGCATTGTTGAAAATTAAATATTTGCTGTCAAAAATAAATGCTTCCTCCCAATTTAAGCTATAATTGGGAAATAATATTTAAAGTTATATTGAAATCATATCATAGGCAATAACATTAAATTAATAAAATATTTCTGTAAAAAAATTCTTTATGGCTTATCAAAAAAAAAAAAAAAAAAAAAATGGAGGTGAGGTTAAAAACTAAATGTACATAAAATGTGAACACACTGAAAACTATATAGAAAAATTTAACATAATAAAAAAAGATTCATTTTACCTGATAATGGGGTACCAAATTAACCAGATTACCCTGGGTACTATCAAAGTTAACAATATCAAATATCCCAATACAATTTATCCGCAATCTGTAAATAGAACAAATAAAAATATTAAACTCATTAGTTTTATGCATTAAGAGTAAATATATGTGTATTCTACATTATATTTTTTAGCTTGAGCATAAATTCTGTTCAAAATGAGAATCATTTTTCAAGAATTTGAATTTTGTCAGCCATTTTTTTTTCTAACTAATCAGAAGCTAAAATAAGTTCTAACTAATCAGTAAAAAGAAACATAGCAATCCAATCAACAGTCTTCAGAATGCTTTTTAGAGCCTACCTGTTTTCATAAATAAGAATTCAGGTTTACTTTCATTAGGGCGTTAGGGCTGTGTTTTGGTATACTTGGGAGTGGCAACCCCCAAAAGTTTGGGTAACACTGTTCTAATTTAATTTTGAAGAATTTTTCCAATTAAAAATTGAAGAGAGGTGCTATCATCAGCTTTTAAGGGACAATTATTTCACAATGCTTTAAGTTGTTGCATTGGCAGTGACTTTCTTTTGAGTAAAAATTTCCAGTGTATAAGTATTGTTTGTTTTCTTTCCTCTGCTTATAATCTAGTCTGTTGGTTATTCCTCATTGTCATGTTACATTTTTCTGATTCATGCAATTACCCAGTATTGGTAGTAAATTAATCTTTAAACATTTAAAGTTTTAATGCCAAAACATTTAATCAGGTTTAATCCTAGCCATATTTTGTATGCAAAAAGAATATTTTATTTTAATGAATAATATATCTCATACTTTAAAATGCATGGAAGATACAAACAATCAGTTTTCAGATGCTTTTAGAAGCCAGGGCAAACTTTTCACAAGCATCTTTGTCTATTTAAAAGGCAGTAAAGATGAGAAATAAGTTTTTCTAGCCAAGAAAAAAGTATAAATTACAATTTGGTTGTTTATGAAGCATCATTTTAAAATAAAACTACTGTGTAGAAGGGCTACTTCACTGAAAAAGAAAAACTAAAAAACATTTACTCTTACAGTGCAGATCAACATTTCTTACATTTCATATATGAAACAAACAAAAAAAAAAGTAGTAAACAAATATATTTTACCTTGATTTACTGGAGATCAAGATTTTAGTTGGATCTAATACTCCACATGCTAACCCTGCAGCATGAATTGCCCTCAATGCAGAACTCAATTGAACTATATATGCCCAGATGAGACTTTCAGGAAGTAAACCAGCATGTTGACGTGGTCCATTGGCACCACCAGCTGAAGAAAAAGAAATGAAAAAGGAAAAAAGAAAAAATTAAAAACAAAAAAGAAATATCTTAACCACTTGAAAGGAGCTGATGTAACAAGAAATGTCTTTTCTCTCAAGCAGATCACATGATATGACATTACACATTGGAATATCAGAAATTTACATTTGTTTTCTGGAAAAGGTCCAAATGGCTAATTTTATACAAGTAAGGATTAACCTTGTAAACATTGAATTTCTACAGTTCTAATTCCTTGAATTTCTGTTTATTCTTGACTATTAAAACAAAACCAAGAACATAATATTTCTTTTGAATATTCTTTACTATGAGAATGGGACTAAAAGTTTTCTTGGTTTGACTGAGATGTTATTAAAAAGATATCTGATGTCTAATAAGATTTTGAGAAATGGGCTGGACTGAGAACTTTTCAGCAACTTGCACCAGTAATGTCATTTAACTTCTGTAACTTGGCTCTTTACAGAGTTTATATGGCTTTTTTTGCCATTAAGAATTTGAACTAGTAAAACACATTTAAATTATCAGTACTAACTCACTAGCTAATATTATAGTAGAAGTAGTCACTTAAGTGTTGCAGAGGCTAAGTGGGAGGAGCTTAGCTGACGTAGGTGTTTGAAACAGACAATCACCATTCAGGCACTAAGTATAGACAAGGCTGTAGATGAAAAGGAAAACTGTTATATATATTCAAAATTTATCTAAGTTCATTACCAAAGTTTTATATTTTATGAAAAGAAAATTCTATGAAAGAAAAATTTTATTTTGTAAAAGAAAATTTTTCTATCACATCAGGAGTCACCAGTTGATGGGTTCTTAGATATTTATATGCTCCATAACCCAAGGAGCTCCCAAACATTGGCATTCATTTTTTAAATGTAATTTCTCCATGTATTTCCCTTGCATTCTTTAATAGTTCTTAATGTTTTAGCTCTTTACCTTCTTGCCAATGTTTAAATTCTCCTTTGTTGGATTGGTTTTAAATTTCATTAGGACTGCACAACAAACTGTCTGTTTGCATTTGCCATCAAACAATGGCTTATTGGTTTTGGTGGAAGAGGAGGATTTTGGTATACTTTAGCATTAAATAGAAGAGTTTTAATGAAATAGGGAACATGATTATTGTTAGATTCTGGTACTAGTTTAGATTCACATAACTTTTAGAATTTTCCCCAATGAAACTTCTGGAGGTTCCAACGAAGAGTTTTACAACCAACTTTGGAATCAGGCATTTCTAGGATTATGAGGACGGGATTGCTTTTGCATGTGTCATCATGAACATTTCAGTAGTAATTTAAGTACATGACGGAGGTCACATAATATTACATTTTGTAGAATATGTAACATCACTTGATGAAGACATGTTTTGTCATTGTACAGGTACAATCATCTTTGTTCTATTACAAATTCAATCTTTCTGTCCCTTTTCATTGGTTGCTCTACCACTATGTATTTCATTGTATCTATTGAGGTTCTCCATCAAAATGAAAGACCTTGAGAGCTGTTATACAAGGTGATCAATTTCTGATTGAGTAATATGGTCATTTGAGAGAATATAAAAGGAGCATATAATAATTTTTTTTATGTAGGGTTGCTGATAAAACAATTTCCTGTAAATTTTATTTGATTATATAGTATTTTGCTTTATTATTATAGACGTGTCACCAGAAGTTGTATCATTTTGGTTGCATGAAATGTAATTTTTAAATTTATTGCATTATTTTACTTTGATAAAACTTTTTTGTAGACATAAACTGATAATGAAGAGTATCAATTTGTTAGCCTTCACTTCCATGTTAGCCATATTTTAGGTTGTATCATTTAAAGGTTTTATTTTTTTTTTATAGTCATGGCTATATTTGAGGGAAAGGATTTTCCATTGCCTCCAATTTGTATTTTCCCCATGGTATTTGTTCTTCTTTCAAAGTGTATTCCTGGTTTTATCTTCTTTGTGGCTTGTGACTCATGATGTCTGTTTCACTCACTGAATAATGTACTTAGTTGGATTTTTGTTTTTTTTATTAGTTTCTGTTTTAGTTTTTATGGAATAGGTGTTTTTGATTGAGATGTTGCAGGAGTATGTTGTTTTATTGTCTTGATGATTTCATTTATTGGAATTAATTTAGTGCAAATCCTTTGAATTTTGTTCTTGACTCCTAATTTGAAAATTCTGGTTAAACACTTGGTATTCATGTCCTGTAATATCGGCTCTCAACATTCAATTTGGCATAGCCCACCCCTTGTATACTCTGCCATAATATATGACGACAACATCACAAATAGCACAGGAAGTCAAACAAGCAATGAGATTTTGAAAGCTGATATTTAAGGGGCAGGTTTGAGTGAGTTGAATTCTAAAGGGTTTAAGAATGAGGCTTTGGCTGTATTTGGGTTTTATTTATTACCATTTTTCAGGTGTTTGTAAATGGTATGTGTTGTTTGAATGAATTAGCAGAGAAAGAAGTTTTACTTACCTGAGTGCCTGCAGAGAAACTTAGTGAATGAGGAGAATGTTTTTTATGGACATTTTTAAAGGCATTTTGGGGAGAAAAAAAAATTGTTTATATAAATCCCGCCAGGTAATGGGAGTGGATTCTTTTTCTTGGAGTACCAAGCAGAAGCAGATTGCTATAGGAATTGAATTTGGTTGGATGGTCAAAGTGGACAGAACAATCTGTGTCTCACTTGGCATTCATAGCTGAAGTTTTTGGAATACCAAGTGGAAGCAGATTGCTATTGGAAGAAGCAGAAGCAGTGGAAGTTGTAAGATGAAAAGAGACAGGAATTTTATTTGGTTGGATTGGTCAAAGCAGTCAAACAAGCTGTCTCATCTTACTGCTGGTAAATTGGAAAGAAAGTAATTAAGGCTTAAGTCTACAAGTATCAATTTCCTTCCAGCCCTCTTCTCCAGCAGGAGTTGGTAAGTAGATATTCTTCACTGATTCAATTCGTTTAAATCCCATTGCTTCAGATATATTTTAACCTTGACATTTCTATTTTCAAGACTTCACATTCCTTTGAGTCAACTGAGTGGTTTCCTTGTCATTTAAAATATTTTAACTGCCTGTCACAAGTGTTTTCTCACTAGTCTATGCTACTCTCTCCACCAGGTCTTGATTATATGTCTATTTGGTCTCCTTTCTTCATTAAAATTCTCATTAAATTGAAGACTGTATTTTCAAGATTTCATTTTTATTTCATCCAAGCTACATAGTGAGAGTTCAGGGCCTCTTGCTAATTCTTTGGATGAATTTATATACTTGTGTGGATAAAATTATTTTAATACCAAAGAAATGGATCATTTTAAAGATTTTTTGAGTATGTCTTTTTTGCTACTTCTACAAAGATTTTATTTTTTTTTAATTATGGTGATAGCTGCAATGACAGCACTTTCTTCATCAGAAAGGGTGTCTTCAGGTGAATCGAGCACAAATCTGAGGAGGAGATATTTGTTTCTTCTATCTCACACTCCAAGCTCTTGGAAGTTCTTTTTTGTTTTCAGGTGTCATAAAATCTTTTTCTTTTGTTCATCAACTGTACTCCCCACTCACTATGGAGTCCAACAGAAGAAAATAAAGAAGGAAACCTTTAGCATAATAGAGCTACACAATCTTTGATGTACTATTTATCCATGCATGGAATACTATTGCCATGTATGGTTTGCTGCCCCCACTGTTCATCTCGAGGTTCTTGACAAAATCCAAAGATGGATATGCAATATGATTGGTTCTATCTTGGGGTCTCACCAACATAATGTGGCTTCCCTCTATCTTTTCTATAAATATTTTAATTGCATCCATGAGCTATTTTCATTATTGCCTGACTGCATGAATTTAAGCATGCTACTAGGTTGGCATCTCTTTTACTGTCAGTTGAATGTAATCACCTCGTCTACTCCAACAGCTTCTTCTCTTGTACCTCCCAACAGTGGAACTCCCTTCCTCTTATTTGCTTTCCTGATAACTATAATTTTCAAAAATTTAAATGTAATGTCAATCAACATATTCTAATGCCATGATCTCTATTCTTTTTATCCTTTTTCAATCCCCTCCTTACCAAGGATTTTCCCTCACTTTCACTCTCTATAGCCCCTTGCGTACTAGTGCTTGTTGGGGGTGAAATGCTTGAAGAAAAAAAAAAGAAAAGAAAGAAAGAAATTAAAAGAGGAATCCTAGTATCTGTAGTCTATAAATGTAGTATCCAATGCACTAGTCACTTAGAGGGAGATACAGTGATGTTGAAATACTTTGGATATCTGTATGGTTGATTCAGATTTCGGAAAGCTCAAGTTTTTTTTAATTTTTTTGTTCTAGTATGACCATAAGAGCTATAGTGTGGGTGTGATCTATAACCAGCTGGTTGATCAGATTGGGACTCTTCAATTGCCCATCTAATCAAAGTATGGAGTACTGCAGTTCACTCAACCATTTATAGTACTGAGTTATATCCTTAGGTATGATGGGTAAATAGATGCCCCCCCCCCTGTGTGTGTGTGTGTGTGATCAACTCTCTGCATGGGGGAGACAAAAGCAATAGAAGTAGATAGGTTCGCCTATAGTCCAGTTCACACTCCTCCCCAATCTTTTCAACAAGATTACAGGTTTATCTCTTGTTTCCTGTTTAAGGTTGGGTTTCCAGTCCCTTCTAAAGTATTTCTCATTCTCTTTCACACCCAGTAGCGCCTTGCATCTTCGTGACATTATCACCTTGCTTGGGGTGAATTGATTTTAAAAAAAAAAGAAAAGAAAAGTGGATTTGTTTATTGTTAAAGTTAACAAAGAACAGAGAGATGAAAATAGAAGCTGAGTCTGGAGCTACTTAGTGAAGCAAAAAAAAATAAAACAAAACAAAAAAAAAAAACAAAAAAAACAAAAGAAAACTGAATGACATTGATTTACAAGATGCATACATTGTCATGAGAACCTATTCAGGTAAGAGGAAGTGAGAAGCATGGTAGAAGTAACAAGAGCAGACGGTGATATCAGGTTCTTTCTCCATACTATTTATTAGTCAGAAATTGGATGAATGAGTTCAATATTGTCAATCTGTTAAAAGTGGATTGTATATTGGAAAAGAAAATTGAAGAGTTTCTTTAAAAAGGTTTGGTAGTGTATTTGAGAACACTATAGTGATATAGAAGACCTTGAAGATGCACATAAAATTAGAAAATAAATTGGTATGTCATAAGATTTAGCTATTCCCACATGTATTAAAACATGGTGAAGTATTCAGATTGGGCAAAGTCAATTCTTTCTGTCTATAAAGAACATGGCATCATCAAAGTATGAGGAAGTGGATGTTATTCTTATCTTGTACTCCTTTCTAACTGAATTGATTTGTTTTTTACAGCTTATCAACCTTTTTGCATGTTATTTAAAGCCAGGAAATATTTTTACAGTGTAAGAATTTTTTTTGAGATAATAATGATTTACTAATACAAGTTCTACTATTTAACCCATAGTTGGGAAGAAGAGGTAAATTCATACCTTTCTCAAGGGTATTTGCATGTAAGTGAATATAACAAACCTGACTGGAATTGTAACTTGGTTCTCCAACTTCTATCTCAGAGTCATTGTCCATTACATCAACTGCACATCCAAGCTTACAGCACATGGTATTTCCAAGCTGTCACCCATGTAGGTACTGACCCGGCTCAACATTGCTTAACTTCTGCAATTGTACTTGATGAGCCTGAATCCCTTTAAACTACCTGCACATAGCATTTCCAAGCAGTCACTGATTTCAACTGATTTCCAGATTTATCTTAAAAATTAATCCTTTTATATTAATGCTCCTTGAATAAACTACAGAAATTTCTCAGTCTATCAAGAATGAATCATTGTAACTAGTCTAAGTGGACATGTAGTTAATGTTATGGACATTGGTGTGGAAAGCAAACCCAGTAAGCTAAGTTCAAGCTTCAAGTTAGTCTGTTGCATTCACTTTCACACAAATGCCTGAGGAAGGCATGAATCAGTCTCTTCTCTCCCTAGTTACGAGTCAAATAGCAGAGTAGGAGGAGCTCTCTAGCTTTGGGTGGTAACCAGTTTCAGAGAAGGAAAAGTCAATAGGAAATCACTCTCTTCCCCAGGAAGTGATTGCAGTTCTCAGAAATAAAGAAAAGGAAAAAAGAATCTGGAGAGCCATGATTGCTTACATACTGAATGGAAGATATTTAAAAAGTTTAAAATTATGAAAAATATGTCTATGACAAAATGAGGATTATTTATCAATTTGTAAAAATTAGTAGAATTTACCTTTATTTGCACTGTATGATCTTTGTGTTTCAGCATTTAAGGAACCAGAGTAACCGTTCAATGTTGATGGTGCTGTGAAATGCCGTAACATTAATGTTTCAGCAACAGGATGGAAATCATAAACAAATATCAAAGCTGAAAAGAAAATGTTGAAAATTAATTATTTGAAATTTTGTTAATTACATTTGACATTAATTTATTAGCAGAAAAAAAGCAAAAATTAAAAGAGGGAGAAAAGGTGAGTACAATTGAGGTAATTAGTAATTTGGGATTGTGTAATATTTGAATATAAAATGATTTTTCATTTATATAAAAGTTATTATTGTGTGAAACATATTGAAAGTTCAAAATACTTATTAAAGACTGAGTAAGAGTTTCACAATGCTTTATCTTCAAGAATCAAGCAAGAATATTTTTATCTGGATCCTGAAAAGTAAAGCATCATGAAAACCTGAGTTGATCTTCAATATTTTTTATCCAATAATTATTCCTCTAGATAGATATTGAATACTTTTATTGTCAATAATTGTTCACCTTGATATAAATTATATTATACAGTGAAACCTCGACTTACAAATTAATTTCAACTTAAGAAATTAAGTATGGGCTTACCGCCACTGCATTTCAAACTAGATATCTGATAAAAATGCACCATAAATTCTTTTTAATCTTATCTAAATATACTGTATTTCATAATTTTATGTTTCATATATAATACTGTAGTATTATACAATATTACAATACTTTTTATACTATTTTTATACTGTACTAAATATTTGCAGATATATTTTATACTGTATTTTTTCTTATATTTTTATGTTTTACATACACTGTACATTATTATATTTTATATACAGTACTGTATTATTATACAGTAGATATTTCTATACAGTTCCATCAAAATAAATATAGTGCGATGCTACGTGCATTGCATCATCCTGCTCAGTCCTCTTTGTTACCTCATAGAACAAACATTTGTAGTATACACATATTTGTGACTATATTAGTTTAAGCGTAAAAAAATTAATAATGTGCAAAAGATTTATGCATAGTAATGAATACAGTACATGTACATTACTGTAATTAAAAGTAGGTAAAATGTGATAATGCCGAGTTCATTTTGTTTAATCTCTATGTAATGTAAAGTGTGTTTTAGTCTAATATACAGAGTATAATCATTGAATTTTAAAGTGATATCAATACAATACAGTAGAAAAATGTAAAAAATTTATAAAGTTTAATTAGTGTAAAATAAAATGTATAAAGTGCAGGTACAGCATGCAGTAAAATAAACTTCACATCCAGTTCAGGTTGATTTGTATGGTACATTTCATCACTGCATTTTGTTCCTTTACATACAGTTATTGTACCATACAGTTTAATGTGTTACTATAAATATTACTGTACATGTACAATAAATTTAAAATTTTAGTGGGTAATTTTTTTAAATAATTTTTGTAGCCCATGATGTCACCCAAGAAGCTGGTTACTACTAAGAAGAGGGAAAAAATATCTGTGCAAATGAAGAAGATCATTCAGAAGCATGAAGAAGGGAACCTGTGTTTCTGACCTTGCCAATATATATGGACATTCAGTATCAACAATTTGCACTATCCTAAAGAACAAGATAGAAATAAAAAAAAAAAAAAGAAGCTTAATGTAGCCAAGAGAGTTAACATAATTATCAATCATAGTCCAAAAGCCCAAGAAGATGTTGAGAAGCTGTTGTTGGTGTGGATGAATGAGAGGCAGCTACAAGGTGATTCTGCGTCTGAAGATATTACATGTGCAAATGCAAGGGGACTGTATGTGGATCTTATCAGGAAAATACCAGGTACGTCTTCTGAAGATGAAAATGCATTTAAGACAAGCTGAGGATGGTTTGAAATATTTTAAAAGAGAACCAGCATCTACAGTATAGTGAGACATGGAGAGGCTGTAAGCTCTGATAAAGCTGCCTGGTTTCAGACGTGTTTTGAAGTGACTAAAAATACAAACTTGACCCCAAGAGAATTTTGGAAGGATCACTTCAATATCCTAAATTGCTTAAATCTCATTGATAAAGCCTGGGAAGGAGTCACAGTGATATATTTATTTACATTATTTGTGTATAATCTTTTAAAAAGTACTTTAATTTTGCATAAAATGATTTTGTGTCAATATTTTTGGGGCTTGGAATGAATTAATTTCTATTATTCTAAATGGGGAAAAATTGTTTTGACATACAAAATTTCCAGTTATGAATCCACTCCTGGAACAGATCAAATTTGTAGTTTGAGGTTCCACTGTATATAATTTTACATATATTAATAGGTATTATTATTGTTGTAAAAGTTAATATAGACTTGTTTTAAAAATCTATGATGCTAAAAATATTAACACAGCAATGAAAAGTTAATTAAATTTGAAGATAACTTTAAATTATTTCTATACTTTAAGAATAATAAAAAAACATTTTAAACAGAAGCACTTATTACATTTTAAATTGAAACTACAGTTTTCGTTTTGAAGTTTAATTTTCAAGCAAAATATAAGATTTGATAATCTATAAGAAAAAGCTGAATATTGAAATATCATCACTATTTAGAACAAAGAGAAAACACTAAAGACAAATTCTTGAATATGAAGTGAAAATATATATTGAAAACAGAACTTGATCTTGCCTTTGACTCAGGATATTGATATTTGTGAAGCTAAAATAATTGACAAAAAGTGAAAGCAAAATATATTATGAAACTTACAATTATCTCCAAAGGCTGTAGTTGTGAAGACTTCTTTCAGCTGGACCACATTTGGATGATAGAGTTTCTTCCACTGGTCTATTGTGGCCATACATTTTGTGTTTGCTAGTCTAAAACCTAAAAACAAAAGTTATAAATCAGTTTTTACAGTTTTTATTGCATAGATATTAGAACTGGATTCAAGTGTATGGTACACACAGTTTATCAAACTGCAATGGCTGTCATAAGATCTCAAAAAGTTAGGTTCTGTTTTTAAATTATTCTACTATCAGATTAAACTAAACTACTTAGATTGTCCATCAGGATGCCTCATAACATCTACACATTTCTACATGTTACTATTAATGTGTGCCATCATCAGGGTTTCAGTTTTGCATATATTAAGAGACACAAGTGTTCCTGCAGTTTCCATCTAACTCAGAATAATTAGGTCTCATTTATTGTTTAGTATGAAAGATCTTTTTGCATGACACCATCACAGTTCAATGCCAAATCTGGTTTGTTAGATTCTGTCATTGACCACATGCTGTGGATGTTTTCTCTGGCAGGAGTGGCTTCTAGATGCTATGCCTTGCCAAAAGACAACTGTAATTTGGCTGTTGCAGTTTTGAATTCAGAATTCTCCTTTTCCTAGACTGGTTGCCAAGCACAGCTAGAGAGCCCTGCCTAGCATACTATTTAATCCATAGCTAGGGTGAAGCAATGAATTTATACCTTCCTAAGTGTATTTTCAAGTAAGTGAATGTAATGAATTTGACTGGAATTTGAACTTAGTACTTCAATTTCTCTCTGAACTGCTATTCACTACACCACTTACATAAAAAAAATCCCAACACTTTCTGGATGTATGTGATTTAAATTGCCACAATTTCCTTTAATACCGTAATTGTATTTCAATATAACTGGTTTTTAAGAAAGGTAGTGGAGTAGTTTCTTGGTTTTACATTCAGTGTTGTTCCTCTGTTACACTGGTCACCCTACCAAGATTAGAGAAACCAATTGGCTCTACTATTTTACCCATAACTAGGGATAAGAAAGAGAGAAAAGAAGAAAGAGTGCCTTTTTCAAGGGCATCAGCATGAAATGAATGCGAGAAGCTTGACTGGAATTTAATCTGATGATTCTATTTTTTCCATGTCAGAATGCTAGCTGCACATTCACCATCAAGGTTGATTATCATTTTGAAAGGTTTGCCTTTCAAAATGACAATCAGCTTATTCCATATTCAAAATTAATTACACTGGATAACAAATGTTGTTTAAGCAAATTGTGTTGCTGTGCATTCATGAATTCAATCTATGAGCTATCTAGTGCAAATAATCGAGCAGAAGTGACAAGGGAACATCTTAAGGACAAATTAACTGACAAATGAAATATCCAGTAAGCATAGAGAGTAGGATGAGAACAATCTACCTATAAGGATTTAATAAAGTGTTTCATTAGAAATACCACAAATTTACTTGTAATGTAATGAGCCCCTGTTAGATTGTTTGGGACACACACGGGAACCCTAAACAATTTTAGCTAGGTATAGTTTTATGACAAATGACAAAGTCTAGATATGAGGACTTTAAAGCCATCATCTGTTATCCCCAAGTAAGAAAAAGGAAATGAAGCAAATAAATAAATGAAAACTTTTCATGGTCAACTGCCACTCAACTGCAAGTTAGGGAATTTTGGTCGTGGGTCTGTATAGAGTTATGATTAGAGTGTCAGAAGGAAGACAGGCTAGGGGGTTAAAGGTTGCCCACAAAAATGCAGAGATGTGATGATACTAAATGTTTAATTAAAATTGTTATAATTATTTTGCCTAAAAAAAAAAAAAAAAATTCCTTACCAACAGTGACTGGCTGAAAATCTTTAACCTTCATGTCCCCCCCACCAAAAAAAAAAAAAAAAAGTGTACAGTTTTTCCCTTGACACTGCTATTATTTTAACTATTTTCAATCCTCAGCAATGTTTGTTCTAAAAAGCAATGATTAGAATTGTAATAAAACCTAAACATATGAAAGTGAATTTATACATTTTCTTTGTTCTTGAGAATTGACAACAAAAATAATAAACATTATTTGTTTATTTACACTATTATTTATTGGAATGGTTGGTAAAAATTCAGCTAATAATTACCACTCAATTCAAACTTTATAAAATGGTAAATAAAGATTTCCTTATAGTTGGTTCACTTATTTTAATAATTTAGTAAATGTTTATAAATTTATGAATAAAAAACTGTTTGCATATTTATTTCTTTTTTTAATTTTAATACAACTGTATTAGTTTTTAGAATGTTGTAAATATAAAATTATTTTTGTAGATAAACAATCTAATAAATAAATAGTGTTTAATATTTTTGTTGTAAAGTCTCAAGGACAAAAAATAAGGTATAAATTCACTTTCATTATGAGTTTAGGTTTTATTAAAATTCTAATCATTGTTTTTAAAATAATAAACATTGCCAAGGAGTGAAGGTAGTTAAAATAATAGTGGTGACAAGGGAAAAAAAAAACATCCTTATCACACACTGTTTTTTTTTTTTTTGTTTTGTTTTGAGGGCATAAAAGTTAAAGATTGTCAATAGGCTTTGAATAAGTGAAGCATATGCACACAATTTATTCTTAACAGAAACAAAACTAAAAATAAAAATATTTACCATGTATTCGTCGAAGGCAGTAGGTGAGACCATCTTTGGTATTTACTGCTTTATAGCAGGTTGTGGGGTAACTAAATGTACTGGATTTCTGAAGAGGATTAGTCATTGACTGTTCCAATGGATATAACTGATTATAGCTATCAACTTCAGTTGGAATATCTGCAAGACATACACAAAATAAATACATACACACACACACACATATATATATCACTTTAAACATTGATAGTGGATACCCATATTTGAGTAGATGTTCCGTTTATTTTGAACAGTATTTTATAATTGTCTACTAGTCAGAATATTTGAGAAATCTTATTAAAGAAAAATGCATCCTTCTGCAGTATTTGAGTCTGCGTCATCCTTTTCAGGAGAAACTGCCATTAGATCTGATGTGCTTTAACCGATGTGATTAGACAAGATTGTATATGCCTTCTCCTATAAAGGAAAATGAAGGTTCCAATCCTGCTAGACGGTTCATTTTTTTTTAAATAAAATTTATCAAATATTCAAAGCTGGTAGAGGATATAAAATACTGTTTAAAAAGTGTCTATTCAAATATGGTTATCCACCAAAAATAATGTTTTAAAAGTTTCTTAAATATGGATTTGGGAAAAAGAAAATAAGTGTTCAGAAAACAATTTTTTTTTTTTTTTTTTTTTTTTACATTGTTTTATAAAAGCTTAAGATTTCATAAAATAAACATATGTATTTCTAAATCAACAGGTGAAATGATAAAGAAAACTTTACCTGGATGTTGGGCAGGATCAATCTGCAGCAATGAACATGCGTGCCGGTTCAACAGTTCCTTAAAAATGTAAAATATAACAAATAAGAATAAATAAAATAAGATAAAATAGTATCTTTTTTAAATTTAGTTTCAATCACTAAATCAATTAAAAGATCACTAAAAAGTAACTTTTCACTTACATCATTTATAAAAAAAAACCTTACTTTATTTTACTGGTATTTTTTTTTTCACTATGAAAAAAATGAATGACTGAATGAGTTACAAATTAACTCAAAGCTTTAGTAATTATACTAATCCGCCCTAAAAGTTTAGTCACATTTTATAAGTGCCAAATTAATTGTGATGAAAGTTTTAATATGTAATTTTTATGTATAAAATAAATTAAGTAATGAAGTTTGAGAATTAAGTTTAAAGACAGAAAAAAAAAGAAGTTATCAAATAGTTTGGTCATATCAATAAGTATTTTAAAATCCATGAACTTAAAACAATTTAAAATTAATTAGGTTTATTTCAGAAGATGAGAAATGATTATAGCAAACTCAGCACAAATCATTGATTATGAATAGAAGATAATTCAAATGAGACAAAAACAGTAATAAAACTTGAATTTTAAGAAGAAAAATGAATATTTTTTTATAAAGTTGGAGCAATTTCCTAACATTGGTTTATAATCATTTAGTCTTAACTGTTTTCAGCAATTTTATTCTGTCACCCCCCCTACCGCTACTACTACTAGATGACCTATAAGACCTTCCTCAACCCCCCATTTACATTTAATATTACAGCATTATGGAATCATAGAGACAAGTACTATCAGTCTATTGCATTTGGATAAACTTTTACCAACAAAATAACATCATATACAAGAATTGGAACCATTTTTTGATAAATTAAAAGAGACACTAGCCGAATTACTTGTGCCTTGCTGTGTGTCACACATTTTTTTGTAAGAAAATGATTGATTTTAAATCATCATTATAATTTGTGGAGAAAAATGATGCATTTCAATATTACTCAATGATCCTGCCAAAGTGACCTCCATCTTCTGGCTTTCTCCTTCTATATTTTGAATAGAAGTTATTCCCTTGTTTAAATTTGATTTAAATCAAAAGGGAAAAAAATTTTCAGTGGAGGTTTTGTGCAAAAACAGCTTGATCAGACCCCTTTGATATGTATTTGATGCAACACTTGATTGACTGAAGTGATGAGTAGATTTCAACAGTTGAATTGTTGCAACAAATATATATTGTAAGGTACTACTCACTGTTTGGGGATTTCTTGCTCAACTTGACATCCATATTGTCTCATTTTGATCTTGCTGATGTGACCTCCATCTTCTAGCTTTCTCCTTCTATATTTTGGATAGGAGCCATTCTTTTGTTCAAATTTAAATTTAATTTAAATCAAAGAGAAAAAAAATATTTCAGTGGGGCCTCCATCGGACCCCCTTTGGTCAAAATGAAAATATACTTATCCAAGTACCCTGGGTAATGTAGTTTCAGAATATATATAGTTATGAGGGTCTACCTCCAAAACCCTAGGAGGAGTTTGATAAGAAACAGACAGAGGCTACCACTTTTATATATATAAACAAATTTACTAGTTTAAAAATATGGTTCCATCACAATGCAGGAATTACCATGTTTCAAAAACAGTAACTAAAAACTTCAAATTTAATTATAGAATTAAATTAAAATCCCTAGTACTGTTTCATTTTAAGCGAATTTTAGAATATTTATGCTCTGCAGAATTTTATTGAGCACTGTTTTTTAAAAATAAAAACAATTAATAAGAACACTGGATTATAAATCTTACTGTTCTTTCTCTTTATTTTAATGTGTGTATATATATATATATATATATATATATTAAAATAAGGTTAACTTTCTTCAAAACACCCATACACAAAACAATTTTTTATGAAATATAAACTTTTTGAATGAGTGTCTTGTTAAATATACAATAACTAAAAGAGAAAAAAAACTCCAAATTGTTTTTTTTCTTTTAACCCTAAAATCTTACCATTTTAATTTCATCTGGCATGAAAAACTGAGGCATGTTTGTTTTCACTTTCATGTGAGCGATATGTGATGGCATTCCTGGATAATATGAGTAGCTCGGAAGCACCTGCTGAAAGAAAAAAATGAAAATGAAAAGAATTAAACAATTAATCATTGCCATTTAAAATAGGTCAAGTTTTAATTTGTGACTATCTTGTTGGTGCAAATTAAATATCAATTAAATACTGCTAATTTGTTATATAAAATGGTAAGCCCAAACCAGATAGAGAGGTGTTTTTTTTTTTTAATTTACAGTTAGCTCCCATATTGTATTCCTTTCTATGAAAGGGCAAATGAGAAGGCACTCATAGCCTAGCATATGTAGATTCTTTCAGATGCCTGATTCCACCATATTCTGTCTAGTAATTTTACTTCATACCATAAGTGTTTTTCTTTCTATACATGATCAGCCATGCCCAATTTCATTGTCTTATTCCTATTATGCCTTTTTGGTGTTTCACCAGTTTTGCTTTTATAAGACAACTGGTTTCACTTTTGTATTCTTTGCCACAACTGCAAGGGATGGAATATATACAGTTCTAATAAGAAATACAGAGCGTGTCAGAAATGCCTCCCACATAATGGTAAGACATTAGCTTGATAAAGACACCATTGCAATTAATATCTACCATTATGTGGGAGGTATTTCTGTTGCGCCATGTATAATTGCATTGTTTATTAAAGCAAAATCAGTTCATATGCTTAAAGATACTGTTTTTCACATTTAGAAATAAGTAATACAAATATCTAAATTGAAATCTTTCAACCTTCAATTTACACTTGGGTTTCATCCAACAGGCTAAAAAGAAGCAATTATGTTGTGTGTGTGTGTGTGCAGGCTCCATTTATCAAAAGCCTGTCACTGATGGTGTGAGTAAGATTCTTTTTTTAAATCATTTGTTTTTCATAATAATTAATTGATTTAAAACACGTTTTTTTTCGCTACACAGTTCTAACCATGTTTCAAAAAAAAAAAAAACCATATTTTAAATCAATTAATTTATAATATTAATGCTCTGTAAATTTACATTGAGTACTATTTTGGAAAAATAAAAATACCTATAAGAACACCGGATTATATATCTGTTCTTTCTTTATATATATATATATATATATATATATATATATATACTTGCTAATACCTGCTGTAGATGCCTGCTCAGGCATATTTATGTTTGTTCAACACTCAGAGTCCACATGTGGGATATACTGCAACTATGCTGAGCAGACCACAATTAGTTTCTGGAAGAGAACACATAATTTGGTGTGATCAACAGTTTGAACAAAGTCAATATACACAAACTAAAAACATTTGCTTCATTTTGTGCTAGTGAGCCATTAAAAAATTCCAAATAATATTATCTACCCAATTTCAAATAATATTTATTCAATCAATTGTAATATGGTTTTAGCCATTTCACAATTTTCTTTTTAATGAGATTATCTACCCCATGTTATCCTGTTAACTTCTGACAAATCGATCATAGCATGATTAATGTTTAATTTTATAGTTTTGCACAAACATTTTAACCATTCAACCACAGGCATACCCCACTGAAAAGTGGACGAACAGGTCTACCTAGAAAACCCTGGAGTCGAGATGCTGAAAGTAACATCAATCAGCTAAGTAATAAACTTTTACTTATATCAATTCCTTATATATACGAGATATGCAGTGATATAATATTTACAGAAGTGAAGTAAATGCCTGAAGGGAAAACTTACAACTCCTTGATATTGTGGAGCAAAATCTTCGGGAGAATAAAAATATGTCGTGCCTCCAACATTTTCCTGAAACACAGAAATAAAATTTTATCAACTTAATTAAATGTATCAATTGTAAAAATTTTTCCACAAATACACAATTCAAAAAAAGAAAAAAATCATTTGAAGAAATAAAATGATGTTTGTCTTCACATTCCGTCTAAGAATCTTTGCTCAAACAAAAACAAATATAAGAACAATGTCTAAAATCTTGTCGCTTTATGTCTAAGAAACATTTCGTAGTCTTTAATTTTTCTCATTTACCCATAAGCTAATTAGCAAAAACCTCTTTTACCAGGATTAACATAAGTAAATAAGTTGTGTACTGGATATTTTATCAGATATACACATAATTTAAGAAAATTCAAACTGATGTTTTGAGCTTAAAATTGTTATATTAACAGTTTATTTTTTTAAGGCTTGCTGGAAATGCCATGTAAAATTTAATAAATTAATATTTAATAAAAAAAAAAAAAGAAAAAGTTACTGATAAAGAATAGATAAGATTGATATAAAATTTATTTTTAAATACCTGAATAGTGTTTGAGGCAGATTTTACTGTCACTGGATTTTGTCTCATGGAGGGTACTGGCGAATCATTTCGCCTGATTAGCATTGGTGAACTGCTGGGAGATATGCCAGGGCTTTGGGAGGGGCTGTTTCCAGGCAACACGGACACTGAATTGGAGAGGACTGCAGGTAGTAATAAAAGATGACTTTGTGGAACAATAATCTATGATATTTAAAAAGTTGAATTTAGATATCAAAATAAAATAAAAACAGACCTGGTGGAGAAAAACAATGTGATAGAATATAATAGACAAAGAGTTTATAAACATTTAAAGATAGAAACATGAAATTCAAGTAAATTTTTAGCCATGGGGTTGATGTTATCAAGCTAATCTAACAAACCAAATTTTTTTTAATCCAGTGTGTATTGGTTCTTTCTATGTAGAAGCATTAGTTTCCATTTTCCTTAGCTTTTGAAAGGCTTCTTTCACTATTTCAATGTAACTTTGGTTTTCAGTGTCACATTTTCCATCTGCTATTAAAACATTTCACATATATTTAAATTTCTTTAATTGCTTTATTTTGACATCTACAATTCATAGTTCACATTTTGTGCTTTTTCTATTGCCGACAACAATACATTATCTTTTTACAATTGATGGTTTGTCCTTTTTGCTTTCCTTTACTACATTGCCTAGGAGTTTCTGCAGTTTTCTTTCTGTATTTGACAAATTGTTTGCATATATCATGTGGTTAAGATTATTCCAACCAATAATAAATCCTGGTAGGACTTCTTGTTCTCTCAGGAGAGCCTTGCTGTAAATGTTGAATAAATTCAATGAAAATCTAAGAAATTTAATCTGCTTGAGTGTGTCTGCTTTTTTGAGCGAAAACAAATGCTATGCTGGGCTCTTGCTTAAATTTTTAAATTTCAAAAATATTTTTGGTACATTTTGATTTGTGGGAAAAAAAGCTGCATTTGTTTTTCATCTGAAATCAATCAAAAGGTTTCCCCTCCAATTTCTGAGAAGTGAAATAAAAGGGGACCTTGGATTGAATTCGACGAGTCGATGAACAGCTGCTGCCTGAACCCAGGTTAGCATGTTCAAGGAAGAAAAACACAGAAGAAATCTGATGACCACAAGGCGAGAATTGAAAGGAACATCAAAGTTGCTTCCACATCAAGGAAAATTCTTTGGCTGGTGTGATTGTTCTTTTCTTTGTTACCACAAACTTTGCTTCAAACATTGTACCTATTTGAAAACTATTCAGAAGTATTTTCTCTTTTTTTCATTTTATTTTTATGTTGTTTACTTTTTCTGAGGACTTTATTCAGCAATGTAATTTTTATTGTAAAAATGGCATATTTAATTTGCATTAATTATTTTTACACATTATTGGCCATCATTTGGTACACAAAATACTTGTGTAATTTTTTCATTTTTATGTATTAATAAATTTATTGTCTCTTTCATAAATTTGGCTCATGTTGTCTATCTTTTTTGTGTGCCCTTATAAATTAAATGTTACCTCAAATGTTCAAACTATTTTTTCTAGGGTTTGTTACTAAATAAAAAATCCTTTAAAAAGACACATCCTGGTCTTATGTTCACTTTATATTTTCATTTACATAATTCATTTTCTATCAAATATTCTTGATTATTCTAATATTTTTCCAAAATACAAAGTTTTTCTAACAATTCAAATAAATCTTTGTGTTATACATTATCAAACACTTTTGTATAGTCTATGAAACGTCCTTCTGCATTTGTATTGCTTATTCTGATATCATTCTAATAATAAGTATTGCATTTCTTTTCCTAGATTTTTAATGAAACTGCAGTTCTTGTCTTATTTTACTGTAGACTTCATTCATCTGAATGATATTCTTAGTTTTGTAACTTATTAAGCTAATTATTTAATGAAGCTTAAACCTGGCTTCTTAGGCAGTGCTATAAAATGGATCTACTAAGGTTACATATTTGTTTGTTTGGTTTGTTTAATGACATATCAACACCTTATGATGCTGAAATTTAATTTCCTTTGGAGCTTTGGTAATTTTCCTTTTTTTAAAAACTATAGCTGGAATTTTTTTTACTATAAAAATGTATTCTTTTATTTATTTTTATTTTTTTAATGTTTTGACCTCAATTTGGGGGTTCACTATTTACCTATAGCTGGGAGCCTAACAGGTGCTACCACCCCCAGGTCAGGGTGGACCTAGGGATAACATCAATTAAAAGATGGTTCCATGCTTCTCAAAACATCCTGATCAGTGGCCTTACTCCTGGATATAGTTTATCAAAATACACACGCCAATTACTGCGTATGTATGATTTATATATTAGTTGAATGACATTGTTTATTTCAAAATAACTATTACTTTTTTGTGTGTATACACACATAAAATAAAATATCGTTATTTTGAAATAAACAAGATCATTCAACTAATATATATTTTATATTTATTAGGTACTTCCAATAATTTGCTGAAAGAAAGACCACAACATGATGAAAAAAGACCCTAACTTGATAATAACAAACATTTTGATGATAAAAGTTTATTTTTAAGAGGAAAGACCAAAGTATTTTTCTAGTAATTTTTTAATCCTTTTAGCACGTTTGAAAGTTTAATTAAAAATCTTGTTTTTCTTGCATCAGTGGAAGCAGCAAAGATTAGTATAGAAGATTTTAGCATCATTTTTGCAGTTAAAACATTTTTTGCAAGAATTTGGAAATTCTTGTAAAAATCAAATAATTGTTGGATTTTAATGAAATTTTCAAGACTTATTCAGGAATTAATGAAATTATTTTAGAATTTTTTTTTTTTTTTTTTTTAATATCTGTTACCCCCACACTTAAAGAAATTTCCAGAAATTAAATGTTTTCCCTCTTCATATTTATATTAGTTAAAAGCAAGACTCCTTGGAGAATGTAAATCGATTTTGATTTTGTTTTTTTTTCAAACTAACTAATTTATTGAAAATCTGCGCTGAATTGTAAAATAAAAAAATGCAATAAAACTAAGATATTATTTAATTAGAAAAGCTTTTAATTGTTTTTATAAATAAGATTTAAGGACACTATAGTCTTAAGAAAATCTTTTCAATGAATAATGAATTTTTTTTTTTTTTTACAATTTAATGGTTTAAGTTTTTTTTTTTTTTTTAAATCATAAAATTCTGCATTAATTTTTCCCTTTTAGATGATATTATTAAGTGATAACTATATTTACTAATCATAAATTGGAAAGTTTAGTACAGTTCACTCATATTTTTAAAAGAATTTTTAATTTTTTTGTAGGAGTATAAACTTGCTGATTTCTATAAATGTGGATGTTCATACATGACATTATCATTAAAAAATCACGTTTTAAAGGTTGTCACATATACACTTTTCTCGACTGAACAACTTACATCTCTCTATGTTTTATTGTCTTTGCAAATCATCTGCTCAAAATTTTAAAGTAAGTTTTATTTTTTTTTTTATTCCTTTTATTTTACTAAATATTTCTAATTTATGTATTTATTGTTTTTAATGTGAGTCATACATCATTTTTTTAATAGTTTCAATTAAGAAGAATTAAATAACCTAGATGAAACCCAATGTTTACAACTAAAATAATAATTCATAATTTTTATTTAATTTCCATTTTCTTATATTTTTTTTATTTTTTTTTGTCATTTTGAAACTTGCTTTCAAATTTTTAAAGTATTTTAAATTTAATTATTAATTATTTTTTCAGAAAAATATTAGATTGCTGAAAATATTTTGTTCATTTTTAAAAATTACTGGGTAGTTAAAAAAAAAAAAAAAAAAAAAAAAATCAAATCCTTTTTTCACTTAGAATTCTTATTCTTCTTAACTTTTCCAAATGTTAGGCTGTCAATAAATCTATCAACACATCAGAAAAACAAGTTGCTGTGGTTAAGCAAATGCTTTTCTTAATTTTCTACTGTTTTATGCTATTTATATCAAATAACATTTCAAAATAAATATGTATTTTATTTTTGTAAGATTTTTTAAAATTGAGAACTTGTTTACAAATGTCACAAAAAGGGACGACTTTCTCAATTTTACTGGGAAACAAAAAACCAAAATGTCAGATCTGCTAGAAAAAGGATTAAAAAAGTTAAAATGACAAAAAAAAAAAAAAAAAAAAAAAAAAATACTTTTCTCTTTCCTCTTAATAACAACAAACATTTTGATAATAAAAGTTTGTTTTTATCAAGAGTTGAGGCATCTTTTTCATCATGCTATGCTCTTTTTTCAGTGAATTATTGGATGATGTACCTATTACACACACACACACACACACACACACACACACACACACAGTTTCTGTAATTTTGTCCTTCCTGAAATGATAATGTATAGTTGATAACATCTCTATTACAATCACATCTGGCATTGCTGCTTTAATCCTGTTTATCTCGGCCAGTTCTAATTTCATTTCAGATTTTAATATCTCAGGTTTTTCCATATTTCTTTTTTGCACTGCAGGTTTCCTTCTTTCATTGTGGAAAAGTTCTCCAATGTATTTGTTCTATCTTTGAAGTATAGAGTTTTCTGTTTTGATTTTATACACCCTATCATGTTATTCCCCTTGTTCATATATACATATCTACCTTATCCATAATGTTCATTAATTCTATCTATGAACACTTTTCAGTGACACATTCTACTTTTGCCTGTCTGCATTTGTTTCTAATTTTTCTATTTAATGTTCTATATTCTGTACCATTCCTTGACATTGTTTATAGCCTCTTTTACATAATGTTGTAAATTTCATGTCATTCACTCCTTTTACTTGGTCTCGTTTTCCTTGGGATGATCTTGTTTGTCAATGTCACTAAAGCTTCTCTTAATGTGTTACACTTTGAATTTCAAGTCTCATCCAATTTACTATACTAACTTTTAATGCTGTCATCCTATATCTCTTTACAATTTCAGTCATTCACGAGTCTATTTTATGGTAGTTTGGGTGATACTTTGATTTGCTTTAATTTTTTCCTAAGGTTGGATATAACCAGAAGCACTTGGATACATTTTACAGTGTAAAATTGCATTCTAGAATCTTTTGTGTGATAATTAAATTTAATCTAGATAGTTATTTTCTTTATGGTGTTTAGCTATAAATTAATACCTATTTTATGCATATTTTATAAAAGAATCTTTCACCG